TGGTGAAGCCTCTCACCGCCCCTGAACCTCTGGCCTGTACCCCAGTTCTGTATGCACAAGTAAATCTTTAAAAAAAAAAATTCAGGTGACAGAGGTACCCCCTAGCTGGGATGTTTTAGGACGGGGCCCCAGAGAACAGGACAGTCCCAGTTATTTCATCACACCCACGAGACAGCCCCCCGCCCCCGGCCGAGCCTCAGGGGTTCTTTGTCCTTGGCTGTGAGAGTGAAGGACAGTGGCCTTTGGATGCGCTGCCAAAGCCCAGCAAGCCCCAAGCTCGCATGGCACATGCCCCTTCCGCTGGGCAGCCGGCACCCAGCCAGGTGGGAGCTATGTTGCTGCTGGTACAGGGAAGGTAAAATGAAGCCCCTCAGCACTGGGGTCTCTGTGGTGAGAGACAATTGCCCCTGTGCCAGGAGCAGCCAGAAGCCCCCATCACTGTCATGACCTCCCCTCAACACAAGTGGCTCTGTGCCCCACTTACTGCCCAGCCCTGTAGGGATCACTCAGTGGCAGGCGGGGGGAAACCAGCCGCCACTGCTGTTGGCACTGCCCAGGCCACACAGGGTCTCTGCCCACCAGGGCCACTGCTCCTGAGGCCCGCTAGTCCCCAAGGAAAACCTCCTTCAGAGCTCTGGAAGCAGCATCAATACCCTCAACAGGCGGGAGCAGAGAATGCAGCCGAGCGCCCCAGGGAGACTCCCCGGGGGGCGGGACATGACTGTGGCAGAATGCCCAGGTCCCCGTGCCCCAGGGAGAGTTCAGGGTGGCCCTGCCTCCCCTCACTTTCCCTCTTTCTGGTTGCCTTTGTTTGAAAGGAGGAGGAAAGGGAGCACTCTCCTGGGGGGCAGCAGTGCGCCCCTGCCAGGGTCCTCGGCAGCACCCGCTGCAGTGTGAGTGGGCAGACGGCGCCAGCCAGGACGTCCGGCGTGGAAGCCAGACACGTGGAAGGTTGGGCTTCACTGTGCTGGGGGAGGACTACTGTCCGTCAGGAGGGGCCCCTGGGAGGGCAGCCCTGATCTAGAAACAGGACAGGTGCAACAGCAGTAGGTGAGCAGGGGCACGCACAAACAGCACGTGCTCACGCAGGGCACGCAGGCGCGGGCAGATGGCTCGCACGTGCTCGACGCCCAGGCGCGACCCCGGGAAAGGGCTCCAGTGTAGCCACGCAAGAAAGCGCCTTGCTCGGAGATCACAATGCAGTTGTTTCTCCTCAGACTCCTTCAAAATAAGATGTCTGTTGTGCTCCCCACGCTGGCTCCCAGGCCACAGCCTTCCCTCCCTCCAGCTCCCGAGAGTGTTGGCAGGAACCGGGAGAGGCAACTTCTTTCTCAAATATCGCATGGGATTAAATGTCCAGAGACATGACCTAACTACAGAACACTCAACCGTGTGGGGTAGAGTATGGGATCTCAGTTAAGCTGGCAGGATGCGAGAGAAATTCACAGGACTTAGAGGCCATGAGGCAGCAGAACCTGCAGGGGACTGAACACAGGAAGGGGCTTTGGCCAGTGGCCGGTGGCCGGTGGCCCGTGTGCTGACCACCAGAGGGCCCGAAACCACCCATGTTGGGCTTTATGGGTCTTCTGTGATTTGTCACTTTGTTTAATTGTTGTGTATTTTTAAACAACCATTTCTAAATGTAAAAATTATTCTTAGCCTGAAGGTGATTTAAAAAAAAAAACACCCACCAGGCCATGGGGAGGTTTGAGCTGCGGCTCCCACCGGGGCAGGAACAGAATTGAGATTCAGAACCAGAAACGGGGACAGCCCTGCATCCGCCTTGGCGGGGGAGCCGGGCCACATGTTCACAGCCAAGAGACCATTCCGGCCATCGCCTACACTTGACCCTTTCACCCCAATTTACCCCTCCCCCTGCCAGAACCACTGTGTTGTTTTTATAGTCTAATTTTGCTTTGCTTCGTTTATTCATTTGTTTTATAATCTTGTTCACATATGAACTCATACTGTATTTACCTTTCCTCACCCGATTTACTCCAGTAAGCATAATGCCCTCTAGCCCACTCACATTGCTACACGTGTCAGGGTTTTACCTTTCATATTACCTAAAACATTATAGAGACTCAAATTAAGCCCTATCAAAACCCCCATGGCATTCTCCATAGAAACAAAACCAAAAAGTCATAAAATTTGGAACTAAAAAAGACCCCCCCCAATAGCCAAAACGATCTTGAGAGAACATAAATGGATGTATCACACTCCCTGAGTTCAAGCTGTATTGCAAAGTGGTAGTAATCAAAGCAGTATGATAGTGC